TATTTTCCATTAATTTTCAGAAAGCATCGGGAATTCATGTCTGGACAGCTAATGACCTGGGAAAGGGAAAAAATCCTCTCTCCCCCCCCCCCCCCCTCTCTCTCTCTCTCTATATATATATATATACATTCACATATATATGGAATTATTTTAATACAGTGCCTGTACATTTGGGGAAGAAAGGCATATAATCTTTTTCACATGTGCAACCAACATCTGTGACTCCTATCCTGCAAGTAACTTTATAGGGCCTCTTCTTTAAAATAATACTCTGATGACGCTGGGGATTATCTGATCACATGTGAAGACACTGCATGACGGCTAGGAAATCAGTGTGCGTATCAATGATATTTCACAAGGATATTTCTATTCATCAATTCCAAAAACAAAATCTAAACCTGAGCTGTGAGGACGGCTTAGGGATAGGGTTTAAGATTTAATTGTACCACTTGCGAAGGAAATGACTATGGAAGCTTGTTCATCAGATGGGATTCAGTAAAGCGGAGTGCAGAAAACTGACACCCTGCTATTGCATAAATGAGATGTGATTCAGAGTTATCTTTCTAACACAGACTGCTCCCCCCCACCCCAACACCTCAACATACCTGCTTTGAAAATTATAAAGCCAGAAGGACAATATGGGGGTTAAGGTGCATGGTTGGCATGTAGCTGAACATGTCTGATCCTCAACACCTCACGGTCCCCTTAGCACCACACCTGTAGGTCCTCATACTGAATTTTGGGCCCAGTTGGCCAAGAGTCTATGAAAATTCCTACACCCCCTCCCCCCAGTCAAGAAGAAGAAATCAACTATAAGGGAGATCTGTATGGCAGAGGCTGATCACAGTAGGTCATTGACAATCCTGCTTTGGAGAAAACCGTGGGCACTGGTGAAGTCACCTGCTTTCAATTGAACCACAGTGCTAATAATGTGGGCATCACCCATTTATTTTTCCCCCAGTTACATTCTAGTTGCAGTGAATGGACCAAGCCGATTCTCTGAGTGTATAAGTGAATGCGCAACCAAGTGTTGGTTACTGCGCTGAACCAGCAAATTCAAGGGAAGACGGTGATGATGAGATTTCCCATTTATCACCTTCTCTCCCCATGTCACAGCTGCAAGCCTTTGCCATCTCTCAGCTAATTTAAACCTCCTAAGAACCCGATGAGGCAGTGATTATTTTATTAGCCTCACTTTGTGGTTAATTCATCACAGACATATTCTAAGATAGGGGTTGGCTTTGGTGGAATCCAGCCCTAAAGTTTAACTGGAATGTTCATTTCTATCCATTGACATAATGCCTAAGGCCCCGGAAGTTGAACCAACACTTTCCAAAGTATTTCCAGGGGGGATGCTGCTGCAATGGCTGATGGTGGAAGGGGTTCTGTTTGTTCACACATAGAAGGTAGATTTCTGGGGTGGGGGGGGGAGGATGTGCTGAATAGCTTCTTGGATAATAAGCCCAACTGATTTGAAAACCTCTAGCCTTAACTCTTTACTACCCGGTTCTTTAAGGAAAATTTCTGTTTCCCCTAGTGCAAAACTGTAGCACTGTCATCCTGTTGTTCATCCATTTGCTCGAGCGGGCACCAGTAACGTCTTCATTGTGAGACTTGTTGTTATTGTTTTTGGTACATCGAATATGCCATGGCTAGTGGGCAGGCTCTGTCATGCAGGCGGATACTCTTGGTAGCTTGCTGGGCTCACTTAATAAATGGACAAAGGAAAAAAAATCTTTTTTCAGGGCCAGAGAAATAATACAGAAAGTTTGCCTTGCATGTGGCCAACCTGGGTTCGATCCCTGGCATCCCATATGGTCTCCTGAGCACTGCCAGGAGTTAACTCCTGAGCATCACAGGGGATGACCCAAAAGGGCAAAACAAATAAACAAAACCAACCTCTTTCCTTTTGAAAGTGGGCTTTCTTTTTCTTTTCGTCTTCTCTCTCCTCCTTCCCTTCCTTCCTTCCTTTCCCACACCCAGTTGTCCTCAAGGGTTGACCCAGCCAGTCTGATCTCAGGGGGACCATGTGGCATCAGGATTGAACTTGGGGCTTCCACATGCAGACTAGGCTTGGCCCTTGGAACTACTCCCCGACTATTTCTTTCTTATTTTACTTCTTTTTATCTAAGCCATCAATTAGTCTCCAAAAATTAAAAAAAAAAAAGTCTTTCTGAAATACCAGTTCAGTAACTAAAGGTATGTTAATTTTTTTATATTGATTTTTTTTTACTTTTTGGGTCATACCTGGCGATGCACAGGGGTTACTCCTGCCTCTGCACTCAGGAGTTATTCCTGGCGGTGCTCAGGGGACCCTATGGGATGCTGGGAATTGAACCCAGGGTCGGCCGCATGCAAGGCAAATGCCCTACCCACTGTGCTATCTCTCCAGTCCCTGAAAAAATATTTTAAGAAAGAAAGATAGGGAAAAATAAGATAGGCCAAAGAAATCTCTGACAGCCTTAAGTTCTCCAAGAGGTTATAAAGTTTTTGGCAATTTCACAGGTATTTTTTTTCTCAAGTACAAATGACATCATTGTTGAAATGAAAAAAAAATTGGCTTGGATTCGTCTACATTTGGGATCACATATTGTTTGGGTTGAGCATCAGTTAATTGTTCTATTTTTACTGGGAAGTTAGGTCATAGCTATTTTTAGCCAACAGGGTCGAATTTGTGAAACTCAACACACAGTTGTGCCTTAGAATTTTTTTCTCAAGCTGTAAGAATGCACATACTTGGTGAAAAATGTGCACATCAGCAAATGTTCTACTATACTCTGGAACATATATGAGATCAAAAGTCAGAAACAGAAAGTGGGCAACTGAGAGACATTTTGATATGTTACTAGGTAGCAAAGTGATTATAGCTTTTTTACAATTGTTAAATTTTTTAATTTTAATCTTTCCAAACTGTCCTTAGAGGCCTCCGAGCCCTTCTGGCATTACTCAGACAATAAGAGCCTGAGGATATGGTGCTGCTTGGGTCCTACAGTTAGTTCAAGGGATGTAGGGATTACCCAAGTTACCCTGCAAGCACTCAGGGGTCCCCAGGGCTATATCCAGTGATGCTCTGGGGAGGACCATGTGACGCCAGGGGCTGAACCCAGATAAGATGCCTGCAAGGCAAGCGTCTTAGTCCCTATACTTTCTCTCCAGACTTGAGGCTGGTATTTTTATTGCTTTATGGGAGATCACACCCAGTTCAGTGGCTACTCCAGGCTCATTACTTGGGGGGGGCATCCAGGGCCCCCACAAACAAAGCATGCACTCCAGCCCTTTGAACTATCTCCCAGCCCACATACAGCGTTATAATAGATGAACACTTACGCCCTTGAAATATTAATATAGTTAATCAATGAGAATGAATTACACCTGAGCTGTCGTGGTAATTTCTCACTTTGTCCTTGAAGAATGATCTATACACCAAAGCCAAGTCAGTAACTGAAATCTCGGAGTCAGTGAGGGGGCATATGAGTTGAGTCAAGTGATCTTTTCAGGTTTGTGGACTGTGAAGATGAACAGGAAGGTCCATGTTCACGAAAAGACAAAACTCATGACTTTCTCCACCCTTCCATCTTTCTCCCAAACACCCACCACCAGCAGAGAATCTTCTATAACGGAGTTTTCAAGCTCATTGGCAAATAGCATCTTCTAGCTTGCCACTCAGCTCAACCCCCAAAGCCCCTGAGGTCATGGTGTAGGATTGATGAACACAACACAGATCCTGGGGTAGAAATGATGAGCTCAACGTACTGGCAAACACAGTCACAGCATCGTTCTATTTTTCCCTCACTTTTTGACTTTTGAGCCATAGCCAGCAGTGCTCAGAGGAGTGCCAGGGCTTGAACCCGGGCCACTAGCATGTATCATAGACCTTGAACTACCTTCTTGATCTTAGATCAACACCCCTCTTCTTGTTTTGGTCTTTTTAACCACGTCCGATGGCACTCGGTGTGTTACTTCAAGCTCGGCTTAGGGGTCACTCCCAGCAGTGCTCAGGGGACCATGTGGTGTTGGGGATGGATCCTGGGCCTCTCAAAAGCAAAGCCTGTGTTCCACATCTTTAAGGGCTTGCTCTCTCTCTCTCTCTCTCTCTCTCTCTCTCTCTCTCTCTCTCTCTGTCTCTCTCTCTCTCTGGTTCCCTACTTCATCATCCTCGCTTCAAACACAGAATCACCTCATCAATGCAAAGACTTGCCCCGAGGCCCTGATGGCCCCCAACTTTCAGAACCCAATGAGAAGACGGCAAACTCCAGGCTTCAAGGGGTAGGGGATGGTCCGGTCCTTCTTATCCCCCATCCCTGCCATTCCCATGGGACCCTGGAAGCCACGCCCACAAACTTCCTCTGGCTGCTACTTAAGCTCCTTAACGGCCATGAACCAGAGACACACAAAGGAATCTCCATACTGAGCAGCTCGCTACAGAGATTTCTCCAGACCCTAATTATCTAAAAGTTTAGAATTCCAGGAGCATGCGGTCGCTCTGGTGGTCATGTGACATCTTATGCTATTCATAACAAGCAATATAAAACAGAGTATGGGGGAAATTGTCTGCCACAGAGGCAGGCGGAGAGGTGGGATGAGGGGGAGGATACCGGGAACCTTGGTGGTGGAGAATGTGCACTGCTGGAGGGTTGGGCGATTGATCATTGTATGACTGAAACTCAAATAGGAAAGCTTCTTAACTGCATCTCACGGTGATTTAATAATAATAATAATAATAATAAATAAAATAAAATTGATATACTGAATAAAAAAAGTAATGTACAGTTCATGCTCAATTCAATGAGTTTAATCAATGGCTGAATAAACAGAAGCCCTACTCCTACATAAAAAATAAATGAATAATAAGGCTCGCCCCCAAGGATTTTCACATGGTTGAGTACATGGCTCGATTTCCTCTGCTGTTCTGGTCTGTTTGAACATGGACACTTCCTTGTAGGAGACAGCCCCACCTGCGACAGTCACAAGCACATCACCCTGCCCACCGCCCGCCTTACCTCTACGATGCTTTTCAGATCTTGCACATACGTCCTTTCGGTCTCCACAATCTCCTGGACCACTCGATCCACATAGAGCAGCTTGGGACTGGCGGCTGACTGAGCACTGGCTTTGGCCATCCCGTTGGCTTCCGCCCTCCAGGGTGTCCTGGGCTGCTTTTCACCGCCCTCCTGGGCGCCCGGTGGCCCCGAGGGGCTGTCCCGAGCCAGCTCGCTACTGGAAAAGGGTCTGGCGGGTACCAGCTCCAGCTTGATGGCCCCGGCTTCCTTATCTTGGGGGAACAGGCCCAGGTGGCTGCTAGATGCCAAGGTCATTCTGCTGCCAAACGAGCCGTGGCTGTCCCGGGAAGAGGCCGAGGACGATGTGGAGCCGAAACTGACGGGGCGGTCGCTGTCCGAGAGCTCCATGGTCCTCCGCGCTGGGCAGTGGCCACACCTGGCTGCGGGCGCGGGCGCTGCAATTTCGGTCACAGCTGAGGGCGCTTGGTGAAGCGACGGCTGCACATCTGTATGCAATCGAGACAGGAGAAGAGCAAGAGAGGCAAGGTCAAGGAGGCTTTCCAAATTCTATGGAAGAGATGAAAAGCGAATCCCGGGCAATATCTGCACCAGGGAGCCAGTGGGCGTGGAGGGAGAGGTAGAGGTGGCAGAGCGAAGGTGGAGTCCGCCCAGCACCGTCCCATCCTCCGGGAGAGGGCTGGGGAGCAGGGCCAGGTGCTCCCAGGTACCCTCAATTTGCGCCTGCGCATCTCCAAGGCCATGGGTCCACTGGTCGGGGTCGGCACTTCAGGGCTGCCTCAAAGATGACTCAGTTGGAGTCAGATTTGCCCTATGGGGCTGAACTCCAGACCTATTTTCCAGGGCACAGGGTAATTAGTTTATTCTTTAATTATAAAATTGTGTGTGTTTGGGGGAGCTTGGGTCATAGCCTGTGAGGCTCAGCGGCTATTCCTGGCTCTGTGCTCAGGGATCACTCCTGGCAGTGCTCAGGGAGCCTTTCGGGGTGCCCGGGATTAAACTGGTCTCTACCACATGCAAGGCAAATTGCCTTACCTACTGTACTCCATGTCTGCCCCCATAAAGTAAAGCACTTTAAAGAAACAGGGCTCTAAGTGTTTAGAATCTCTCCAGTCAAAAGGTGACAACACCCACAGAAAATTGTATCTTAGCTCCAGAAAGTCATGTGCTAGTAAAACATTCAGAAGCTAATGATTAAAAAAATTTCTAAATGAAAAGAAAGTGAAGCCACACCAGGTGATGCTAAGGGGTTACACCAAATTCTGCACAGAAGTTACTCCTAGAGGTTCTCAGGGAACCGTATGGGATGCCAGGATCAAACCCTGGTCAGCTGCATGCAAGGCAAACACCCTACTCACTGTACTTTCACTGTTTTCCCTCAGAATCTAATTCTGAAGCAATACAAAGCGCCAGTATTTTTTTTTTTTTTTTGCGCTAGGAACTTCATTATCTTTCCATTCCTTTCAATATTGGAGGCAACAGTGAAATCCCAGGTCTATGGAAACAAAATGCTTCATAATGAATGTGATCCAGGGAGTGATAAAAGAGGCCAGAGAGAGAGAGTACAGCAGGCAAGTCGCTTGCTTTGCACGAGGCTTACCCCGGTTTAATCTCCAGTAACACATATGGTCCCCTGAGCCCCACCTGGAGTGATCACTGAGCAAAAGTAAGCCCTGAGAACCAATAGGTGTGGCCCCCAAATCAAACCAAACCACAAAATATCCCCAAACCAAAAACAACTAGAAAGAGATAAATGAAGAAAGCTGCTTTTCTTCGGCAAGAAATCTAAAAAAAATCACAATTTTTTAGAAAAAAAATAGAAGGCAACTTACAGCTGGAAAACTATAATAGGACAAACATAAACCCAATAATTTTTCCCCCAAAAGGAGCATGCTTTGACTGTGTTGTAAGGTTCAAACTGGACCTACTAATATTTCTGCAATATTGATTCTGATTTGAATAAATCAAGTCATCATCTTGCCTCTTCTAGATAGTTTAAATTCGCGGCAAATCATACTGTGAACTTAAAATGCAAATATGAAAATTATGAAGAGAAACAAAAAGAGCCATAAGGAATTGTAAGAAACATGTAGGAAATGAGTCACTTAACCACGACTAGTATAACCACTGCCACATGGCTTGTTTGCCACAAATTTTTAAAGCCTTTGCAATATGCTTTCTGCTTGCTCTCTAACAACTTTATAGCCTATAAACCATGGATTGGTTCTAGTCATTAAAGTGCACTTGCTCTAGAAAGTCTGGTCCCATTTGGGTGTGGCAAAAATCCAAGAAGCCTCCAGGCATTTAAGTATGCCCACAGTAAAGGATGCATGCCCACTTGTGGGCTGCAACCCACATTTCAGTTGAGAAAGTCCTACATGGGTCAGTGGAGGCGGAAGACATAACAGGCCCTGCTCCCCGTCTGCCATGCACCAGAACTGTTACCAGGTGGCCACTCTCCCACTCAGAAATGGGCACTAAATTTTGGAAGTATATCAGGGATGCTTTCAACTGAGTGCAATGCCATAGACGAAACCCAGTTCACATGCATGCAAGGCATATGCTTTCACCCCTAAGCCACATGCCTGGCCCCAATCAGGATTTCTATTAGATCCCTAAGGTCTACTGAGGCACAAGCTAGGACCAAATCTAAATTAGGTATAGAACTCCAGGGCACCCTGGAAAGGTCTAGATGAATTTACCCCATGGATCTGAATACGTGATTTCCAGGGCAAGTTCTGACTATTCTGACTTGTAAACAATCAGCCTTCCATTCCATATTATCATTGCTTACTATATCGCTCTAGAGTGAAAAGCAGATGTGCTAGAAACTCATTTCTTTTTTTTAAAAATTTTTATTAGTGAGACATCATGAGGTGTAGTTGTAGACTTACAAATTTTTGTGTTTGTGTTTCAATTATACAATGATCAAATACCCATCCCTCCACCAGTGCCCATCTTCCACCACCATGGATAATATCCCTCCCACCCCCATCCCCCCATCCCCCCTGTCTCTGTGGCAGGGCAATCCCCTGTGTTCTCTCTCTCCTTTTGGGTGTTGTGGTCTGCAAAAGAGGCATTGAGTGGCAATCATGTTCGGTCCATAGTCTACTTTCAACATGCATCTCCCATCCTGGGAGGATCCTCCCAACACCCTTTATTTGGTGTTCCCTTTTCTATCTGAGCTCTCCTTTCCCCTAGCATGTGTGGTTGGCCTCCAAGCCATGGAGAAACTCATTTTTTTTTCTCTACTATCTTTCACTCCCACTCCAAGCTGTATGGCCACAGGCACAACACAAGATAAAAAGAGAACCAAATAAAATTGCAGAATGTTTTAGAGGAGCTCATGGGGACTGCTAAGAATGATGGTGCCTTTTTTTATTTTATTTTTGCTTTTTGGGTCACGCTCGGCGATGCACAGGAATTACTCCTGGCAGAGCTTGGGGGACCATATGGGACGCTGGGAATCAAACCTGGGTTGGCCGCATGTAAGGCAAATGCCCTACCTGCTGTGCTATCGCTCCAGCCCCTGATGGTGCTTTTTAAACTGTCAAGGGGGAGATCACAAAGCTTCCCAGGTGAATAGAAGATCCTCTTATGAATGGATCTTCAATTAGAACCACGAGTTGGGTCCTGCCCCCAGGGACGCTCAGATGTTCCCAATCAGGCCAATTTAGCCACTGCCACTGGCTGAATGGCTTGGCAACCAGGAGCTTTACAAAATAGAATTTTCGAGATACTTAGTCTCCATAATATTTTGCCAAATGTACTGGCTAAGTTACATACTTCCCCAAATTACCAATGGCAGAAGTGGACCGTTTAGAGTTAGAGCACATCATGGCATATAATAAGAGATTTCATTTGCTAATGGATAACATTTTTATGTTGATTCATTGCTTAGAAGATAATTATAGTTTTCTTCCATAAGGAAATGTACCTCATAAAAACTGTCTAGTCTTGTTCTCACCACTCTCAAAATAATTTTAGATTTCAACCCTGTCTGGTCTACTTTTCCTCACACAACCAACTCACCAATTATTAATATTTATCTCTGAAAGCTGCACGGGGTTCACTATGCAGCAGGAATTTGAGCCAATGCAGTCAGTCTAAACGAGGCTATGTTTTAAGTGTAAAAAATACATCAGGTTTCAAAGACATCATATGAAACAATTACAAAAATCCACAGACATAGGGCCAGAGAGATAGTACAGCTGGTAGGGTGCTGATTTGAATGCAGCTGACCCAAGTTTGATCCCAAGCACCCCATATGGTCTCTTGAGTACTGCCTGGAGTAATTCCTGAGTACAGAGCCGGGAGTAATCCTGAGCATCGCTGGGTGTGGCCCCAAAATAAAGAAACAAAAAATAAATAAAACTCCACATATTTCTCATATTTCTCTGTATTGTAAACCATAATGCCCAAAAGGGGGAGAGAGAGAGAGAGAGAGAGAGAGAGAGAGAGAGAGAGAGAGAGAGAGAGAGAGAGAGAGAGAGAGAGAGAATAGGGAAAATTATCTGCCATGGAAGCAGGGGAAAGGTAAGAAAAGGGGGTGTATACTGGGGACATTGGTGGTGGGGAATGTGCACTAGTGAAGGGATGGGTGTTTGATCATTATACGACTGCAACTCAAACATGAAAGCTTGTAACTGTATCTCACGGCGATTCAATTAAAAAAAAAACTCCACTTACTTCATTAATAATTTCAAACTCCCCCCCTCCCCTTTTGTGTTGCTGGGGATTGAAACCAGGTCTCATGCATATAAGACATAATCTTTGCACTGGCATCTTCAGTTCATGTTAATATATTTTTTTAATCAATGACATGTTGAAAAATATTTATGGAAGAGTGGATTACATACAGTAACCTCAAAATGATTTCAGTGATTTGGGATGGGTGAGCTGACTCTGAAAGGCATAGCACATCTCTGATACCACATGGTCTTTGGAGAACTGCTGGGGCACCCCCCAACACACTCAGATTTGGCCAGAAAGTCAGCCACACAAATACTTGCCCGTCTCCATAAAATGAATTCTACTTTTGTGTCATATTGTATTTTGGTGAGACAAAACTGATGTAGAAATCTCCAAGTAGTTGCTATTCTCCAAGAGTCCAAAGAGTACTAAGCACTAAAGAATACTAAAGAGTACTTCTTTATTAATCCTTGCCTAATAATCGACTGGAGAGGAACATACAATTTAAAGTTTATCTTTATTTGACTGAATCTGGATGTTCCAAGAAGTCCTTGGGAGCCTGGGAGGCACTCCTGGGGATACTCAGCTAACTGGGCTAGTGGTTCAGTGAAAGGCTGAGGATATGGACCACCCGGGTCATCCCAGGTGCTGGGTGTATGTGTGTGGGGGTGGGGGGGAGTGCGATGCTGAAGATCTAACTGGGGTTGGATCTGGATCTGTGCTAACTGCCAGGTCCCTCATCTTTGAGTTTTTTTGTGTGAAAAATGATTTTTATTTTATTCTTAGTTTATAAACA